CTATTTCAACAATTTGGGGTGGGAGGAGGAAAGAAAAGAAACTGTCCCTTTCCCCAGGAATATTGGGCTACCCAAAGACAACACGGGGCCTGTGAAGAAATGAGCTTCTAGGCACCCCAAAAGAATTACATCAAATAGGGGAAAGACAGCAGCAGGCACAGTGGGGGAAAGAGAAAAATACCTCTCCCCAAAATAAGAGGTTGAAATTATAGTAAAAAACAGATTTATCGGACACACAGATTAACACAATTTGTTGAGGAAGAGTCAAAACTGCTTTTGTAAAGGAAAATCATGCCTCACCAAGGTACAGAGAAGGGCAACAAAAATGACTAAGGGTATGGAACAGCTTCTGTATGAAGTTAAAAAGACTGGGACTGTTCAGCTTGGACAAGAGATGAGTAAGGGGGGGGATGTGATAGAAGCCTATAAAATCATGAATGGTGTGGAGAAAATGAATAAGGACACATTATTTACACCTTTACACAACACAAGAACCAAGTGGCACCCAATGAAATTAGCGGGCAGCAGGTTCAAAACAAACAAAAGGAAGTACTTCTTCACACAACACACCATCAACCTGTGGAACTCATTGTAAGGGGATGTTGAAGGCCAAAAGTGTAAGTGGCTTCAAAAAGAGAATTCAATGAGTTTGTGGTAGATAGGCCCATCAGCTGCATAGATGCTCCTTTCTTCCCAGCTCTCTCATAACCTTGGAAAGACGGACAAAGCTGCTCTACTTCACCTCCCCCAACCTAAGTTGCTTTTCTTTGAAACAATAGCAGCTGCCACTACTTCTCTTCAGACATATAGATCTTGATGTACAAATCCATTTTAGCAGCAGGCAGAGGTTTTATTGTAAAAGGGAAAACACAGGAGATGGTCCAGTGGGCATCCCTACAAATTATTTTAACTTGGAATGTTTGAGAGACAGGTTCAAGACTGGCTATTCAGAATCCTAACTTAAAAGAAAAGAAGGTGATGCCAGTGAGTGGACTGATATCTTAGTTTGAGTACACAGATGTATCCTCACAAATACAAAATAATTTGTACACATTTTATAGCATTAAAATAATTTTTTGCATCTGAGGTGAAACAGTTGGTTTCTGAGACAGAGCTGGGAAGAACTTTTAAAAGCTATGCTTTAGTTTCTACATATTTTATTAATAGAAAATACACCAGCATTGTTCTTTAGTGCATTTGCTGAATGACAGTAATTAATCATGCCTTTCTTACATCTACTATGAGTAACTATTGTGTATGCTCAGATAGGAATTTCTTTTTTAGTGGAATAATAGAATACAGTATGATAGTGGCAGGCTGGTAGTGGCTGCTATATATAATTAAGTTTAGGTTAGTACTTTCGTTATAACCACCTATTTTCACAGCTTTCTGAAAAGCTTCTCATTTGAGGCAGAAACTAACCATGCTTGGTTAAAGCTCAGAAGTGAATATTTCTGTAAAGCTGCAGAAAAATCAATTCTGATACCTCTCAGCTCTTGGATAGCGAAACAAGAAACTTCATCATTTAGATTTTCATCACGAATAACTTAAAATTGGCTTATCAAAAACCTTTAATACTTTGCTTGTAAATAGTTCTTATTAAGGAATAGGCCCCTTTCCCAGATTTAATTTGAAAAATATTCAAACATTAAATTATTTAAAAGTCAATTCTGAATATGCTGAATAACCTGCTAAAATTTTAGCAGGGCCTAATAAGCCAGGCTCACATTCTGACATTCCCAATGCAGTGTTCCAACTTGGCTTCGTGGGGGATTGTAAATGTCTGCTTGAAACATACACCATAATTCTCAAAAAATGCAAATTACAGTGATATCTTTCTGTTGCTCTTTCAGGTATGCAGCTGCCATATTAACCCAGCCTTGTAGAAAAATGTTTTCAGCAGTAGAAAATGTATGAATTCACCTCTCTCACAGTCCCATTTATTTAAATTAATTTTGAAATTTAAAATTTAGAGCCTATTACAGAAACTCCAACCTAAAAAAAAAAAAAATCACATTTCTGTCCAAGTTTATTAATGCTTACTATTGTTACACTTAAGATTACTATAATTGAAAGATTAAAGAAAATGATTTTTTGCAGTTTTTCTAGTGTGGTTACTTTGTGTTTGTGTATGCAGCTGATTTCTCAGATTCACATGTACAGCAAGCTAATCCATTTACTCTGTTGGATTGTGAGGGTATTTCATGCAATAACAAGGTAAATGAAAACTCTTTTAGAATGTGAAAATCACAAAAATAGCACCCCAAACCATTTAAAATTTTATATTTATTTATGACATTTAAAATTGATAGAGTTCCATTAAATGCTAACCCTGGCAGTTTAGCCTACCTTCCGCCCAGCCATTTTTAATAAGAATTTAAATGAAAAATTGTGGATAAGGGAGAAGCTGTAGATGTGGTATACCTAGACTTTAGTAAGGCATTTGATACGGTCTCGCATGATATTCTTATCGACAAACTGGGCAAATACAATTTAGATGGGGCTACTATAAGGTGGGTGCATAACTGGCTGGATAACCGTACTCAGAGAGTTGTTATTAATGGTTCCCAATCCTGCTGGAAAGGCATAACGAGTGGGGTTCCGCAGGGGTCTGTTTTGGGACCGGCTCTGTTCAATATCTTCATTAACGACTTAGATATTGGCATAGAAAGTACGCTTATTAAGTTTGCGGATGATACCAAACTGGGAGGGATTGCAACTGCTTTGGAGGACAGGGTCATAATTCAAAATGATCTGGACAAATTGGAGAAATGGTCTGAGTTAAACAGGATGAAGTTTAGCAAAGACAAATGCAAAGTGCTCCACTTAGGAAGGAAAAATCAGTTTCACACATACAGAATAGGAAGAGACTGTCTAGGAAGGAGTACGGCAGAAAGGGATCTAGGGGTTATAGTGGACCACAAGCTAAATATGAGTCAACAGTGTGATGCTGTTGCAAAAAAAGCAAACATGATTCTGGGATGTATTAACAGGTGTGTTGTGAGCAAGACACGAGAAGTCATTCTTCCGCTCTACTCTGCTCTGGTTAGGCCTCAGCTGGAGTATTGTGTCCAGTTCTGGGCACCGCATTTCAAGAAAGATGTGGAGAAATTGGAAGGGTCCAGAGAAGAGCAACAAGAATGATTAAAGGTCTTGAGAACATGACCTATGAAGGAAGGCTGAAAGAATTGGGTTTGTTTAGTTTGGAAAAGAGAAGACAGAGGGGACATGATAGCAGTTTTCAGGTATCTAAAAGGGTGTCATAAGGAGGAGGGAGAAAACTTGTTCACCTTAGCCTCTGAGGATAGAACAAGAAGCAATGGGCTTAAACTGCAGCAAGGGAGGTCTAGGTTGGACATTAGGAAAAAGTTCCTAACTGTCAGGGTGGTTAAACACTGGAATAAATTGCCTAGGGAGGTTGTGGAATCTCCATCTCTGGAGATATTTAAGAGTAGGTTAGATAAATGTCTATCAGGGATGGTCTAGACAGTATTTGGTCCTGCCATGCGGGCAGGGGACTGGACTCGATGACCTCTCGAGGTCCCTTCCAGTCCTAGAATCTATGAATCTATGAATACAACATTAAAAACTGTGTTAAACACAAAAGCCAGGAAATGTAAACTCTAACATTTTCATAGAAAAATTAACTCATCCACTTTACATATAACATGTTTTATGATTAGCTAGGCAATTAAATAAGTATGTACCGTATGTGCAATGTAGGTAAATTAATGTTACTATGAGAATTTTAACTTTCACATTTCATGACTTATTTTGATACTGATGACTTGTGATGAAGCACTTATTTTTGGAAGTAGACAACATTTTGGATAAATGGCCATGCAGAATGTTCATTATTCACATTTATTTAGATAAATGGACAACAAAGATATCCATTCATTGTGCTCCATTGCCAACGTCAGAGCAGTCTGGACTTTATATTCTTTTTTTTACAATGGCCCTCTAACTACCATATCTATCACTATCCTAATGTTCACTCCCCACTTATAGTTTAGATATGTATATATTTTAATCTTAGAACATCGAGAACCATTTCCATTTACAAACAAAAATTGCCATCTGTGAGAACTTACATTAAAGCATATTCAGATTTTAATTATACTACAGACAAAAATGCATTCAAACAGGTCTAGGGATGGACATACAAAATCTTCCAGAAACCAATATTAATGATTCTTCCTTGTTGCTTTGTTTTTATCCATTTATATAGTAAATGAAATGTGTTAAAGATAAGGTTTTTTAAAAGACTGAGACCAATACTATCTTATTTCAAGTTATAAGTAAAATGTATGCCATATAGTGTAGTAACATGTCACATATTTAAAAAACTATAATTGAATTTAATTAGATTTACACATTACAGTCAGTAATCCAACCCTGATAAAATATTTTCAGGAACTGAGTATTCTAACTCAGAAAAGTTTCTAAACAGGAATAACCGAAGGGTCAAAAAGATGAAAGAATAGTCAGAGATGTTAGGGCAAATTTTAAAAGGCATCTGTGACAAACAACACTAGAAAAATGATACTTAAAAATAGAAATGCTAAACTTCTCTCGATGAATGACATTTCTCACTAATTACATACTGCTTTTTATTATTGATTGAATAAGTGTTAAGAATTATAGAAAATCATCTGTTCAATCTTTTATTATGAACATAATTTAGTCAAAAGACCTGTCAGTTATTCTTACTCAATTTTTGTTTCATACAGAAAAGTGTATTTTATATTTAATATAACATTTTCTAATATCTTAATTTAGGAGAACTTCATTTCAATACCATCAACAAATCTCTAGAGTTTAATATTTAACTCAATACTTTTTTCTCCTTTTTCTCTCAAAGAAAACTTTTCCATAAACGCACACACCAATCCTTGTATTGTAATAAAATGTAAGGTCAAGAAACACAAAGCAGTGTACACAGCATAAAAAAACAAAGTTAGAATTTTATAAAGAAAGTTCCTTATAGGTCTACATACGTTCTTGTCACATCTTGTTCAATCATTGCTCGAAGCTCTTTATCCTGGAAAAATTTGTTCCAAAGGGACTGAAAAAAGGCAAAATAATTGCATGAAACAAAAAAAATACTACAATACCTTAGTCTTGTATAGAAAGTTCTATCTGCAAAGTGCTGTAAAAAATTAACCAATTAATCGTCAGCATTGTTGGGAGGTAGGTATTATCACTATTTTACAGATGAAGAAACAGACAGCTAGGTTAGTGACTTGCCCATGGCCTCACAGTAAGTCAGTGTTGAGCAGGGATTAAAACTCATGAGTTTCTGGCCTTCCTAGCTCCATGTGCAATCCACTGGACCACATTAATTTTCAAGTATTCAGAAGCAGTTACAAATTGGCTTAACTTGCACATTGGCCAATTATTAGCAAGTGAACTATTGAGCCCTGGCAGAAATAAATCAAGTGGGGAATGCATGACAATAAAATACGAGTCACACAAAGGCGATCTCTCTAGTCCCTCAAATACACTATGCAAAGGAGAGTCTCATATGTGGAGTAGAAGGAGATAACTAATTATTAATGTAAAAAAGCCTAAATTGAAATATAGTTTAAATTAACTTCAGTGACTTCTGTATCCGTACTTGTGCTCCTCTTTTTCCTCTGCCATCCAGGTCCCGTTCACCAACCCCTCCCAAAAGCTAACCTGAATGAAGACTGCTCATTTTACCCTTCCAATTTCAGTAAGGCCCTAGAAAAGAGTCTTTGCTGATAAGACACTGTGAGGGAGCAGGGAAACACAATCCCCACTGCTAAAAAAGCCCAGGACAGCACAAAGGTGTGGTGTGTATACCCCATTGGATATAAGGGCACAGGTGCCGATCTAGAGGTGCTGCAGCACCCCCTGGCTTGAAGTGGTTTCCATTATATATACAGGGTTTACAGTTTGGTTCAATGGCTCTCAGCACCCCCACTATACAAATTGTTCCAGCACCTCTGTATAAGGGGATGCATAAAGGTGGACCGCTGCTTTATTCCTACTTTTGATTTGGCACTGTGTATTTGTGGTGCGTATGAACTCACTTGGTATTTGCCCTGCCATATTCACTTTGACTTCTCATTAGCCTTTTTTCACCCACAGTGCAGAACAGAGGTTTGGAGTCCCTTTGTACAGACCACCAATACAATAGAAATGCGATGACTCCAAGGCTTGTGTATAACTGGACCTACGTTTGGGTCTATTGCATGTAAAGTCCCTCCCCATTTTCAGGCTATAGATGTTCCTATTTTCATTATCGGGCTTTTGATGTTCTGTTTCATAACTGAATTGTCCTTTCAAATGTCTCTCTATAAAACACGGGGAACATAGTAATAAATTAAAACACATCAGTTATTGGTTATTAATTTGAGAACAAAACAGAAATGCACAGAACACTGCTCCAGCACAAATATCTGTAAAACAGATGCACATTCCATAAATCCAGCCAAATAACTGTATTTCTCTTGTGACTTGTCAAGAATTATTTAGAAAATGTTAAAACCAAAATTTTCCAAAACAATAACACGTTGGAAAAATGGTGATTAATAAAATAGCTTAATGCTATACTACTGTGCAATAGACACAGCACTACTAAGAACAGCTAAGATCTTCAAAAATGGGTGGCAAAAAGTTAGGCTACTAAATCTAAATGTACACACCTAAGTGGCTTGATTTCAAAAGTGCTGCACTCCCACACCTCCTGCAAACTTCAATGAGAGTTGCTGGCTACTCAGCATTTTTGAAAATCAGGCCAAATGTGTTTTTCATGTTTTCGGTATTACTTTAAATTCTAGGTCTTTCATTTTGCAGGAGTTCCTCGATAACAATGACTTAATTTCTCCTCGCTTGCTATGACCTATAGAAAATAATCCCCTACCAGCAAAGAGTACTCAAAACTCTAGAACAGTGGTTCTCAATCTCTTCTTTACCAGACACCTCTTCCATCCAGCAACACAAGAAGGGCAGGGTGGTTGCTAGCCTTTGACACCTGTTGAGAGTCACAGCACTGAGGCCGAGAACCCCCGACCTAGAATGATGCGTTCGCGCAACCCTGTGTGTAAAATCAAGTCTTTAAATGACCTCAAAGGAGTGGGAGTTGATGATCTTTTCATCCCAGTTCTATCTCATTATACCAATTTTTAACTATTAAATGGCAGAGAGAGAACATAATAGTAAACATGTTTTAATAATACAGTACTGAAAGCAATTCATCCCACAATTTGAGTGAGAATCTTCATGCGTGGTAAATCACCAATCAACCTACAAATATTTTTCTGGACATGCTATCTAACCAACTCAATTGATATTCATGTACAGCATTTTACATCTATTTTGAAAAAATAAAGAATAATAATTATTTTAACAGGCAATATTTCAAAATATGCAGCAAATCATTATTAGTTCCATTGCATATTCACTTAGCAATAATTCATTTGGTTTTAAAAGTGCAGACATTTCAGTAAGAGAGCTGATGATACAAGTCATATTACATGGCCAACCAATTGGCCAGATTCAGTGAAAGTGGAATCAAATCCCAATATTGATCTCTTACTCAGCAACGCATCAGCAGCTGGGAGAGTTGAATAGGCAGCATACTTAGCTCCTGGAGAGGGAGCACCAACTGCTCAACAGCAGCTCAATTTAGGAGTGGCACTATAGTACTCCCATTTAGTCTTCATTGGCCAGGAGCTCTCTTATTGCCAATCTGATGATGAGCACCAGGATTTGGTTGTTGTTGTTGCATGCACAATATATATGATACAAGTGAGGCTCAGCTTACCCCCTCATCTTGCGAAAGTGGATTGTTGATGATCAGATCCTGCTGTCCAGCTTTCCGAGGGTTTGTAATATGCTGGGGGGAAAAACAGAACATGGTTTCTACTTTCGGACTTCTCTCATATCGGAAGTACTGTTCCAATATCCAGGCATAGGAGTGGAAGATGCTTTTTATATTCTACTTACTATTTCTTTAATCTTGTTATACCATGTTCTTAATTTTGAAGTTTTATTTATCCACTGACTTCTGTCTTGTGGTAGAACATTTAGAAACAGCTATCAACAAAGGAAAAGATGTATTTGTTAGAAAGAGAAGAATTTCATCACCTTAATGTAACTTTCCAAATAAAAATCCTATAGGACAGTCTAAATCATCTCAAGGATGAGAAGTGATATTAAAAAAATAAAGATTCTACACAAGTATAAAGCAACAGAGGGTCCTGTGGCACCTTTGAGACTAACAGAAGTATTGGGAGCATAAGCTTTCGTGGGTAAGAACCTCACTTCTTCAGATGCAAGTACACAAGTATGATACAGTAAAAAACCTAGAAGTGATATCCAGGCCTCAGAATTTAATCTCCAAAAACAACTAATAAGAAGCTAGAATCTAGTTCTGAGATACAACAGAAAGGTCCAGCAACAATCTATGGGGCAGAACCTCAGCTGGTATAAATTGTTAGACCTCCACCGAAATCAGTGAAGCTATGACAATTTACATCAGCTGAAGATCTGCCTTTACAGATTCAGGTTCCCAAAACAGATAAAAAAATATAGGAAGAGATCAAAGTAGAAAAATACAACATTGGAGCTGCAGGCATAGCATGAATGGAGATGATGCAACATATTTACAACCAATGAGATTATAGAAGAGAAGCTAGGTATTCAAAAATATATTCTATCTGAGATAAACTGGAAGGACAACTGTGGACCAAAAAAAAAAGAACATCCTCCACACTTCTTTGAGGTAGTTTACAGGCCTGACTTTGCAAGATGAGGTCCAGAAAATATGTAGTCTAAGCTCTGAATTTTATAGGATAAATGTTCTTTTATATTTGTGCGTTGGAGGATCAGACACCCATGGATGTAAATTTCCCCCTTTGAACTGGGGAAGATTATTTGAACTAGATGTAAGATATTGACAAACATTAGTACTATTTGCTCATTTTTAAAAGATGTAAAAGTTTTCTTTTTTAAACATTCTAAACTAGTCTTAAAATAGTTAGGAGATACTGTCAAGAACATAAATGCCTCCAAACAATTCTTTTTAGAATATTCAGTATTAAGAACTTAATGAAAACTTTGGACATTTTCAAACACGTATCCTAAAAATAGGCACTTAAATCCACACAGTTTCCCAAATTAAAATGGCATGATTTTCAGAGGTGATAAGCTCCTCTTCATTTAATTTAAATGGAAGTTGTCGAGGCTCAGCACCTCTGAAATCAGGCCATTTTTATTTAGGTGGCTAAATACAGATTTAGGCAACTAATTCTAGGACACAAGGAAGAATAGGCTGGTACAAAAATGTTTGGGTACAAATTCTGGGGCAGCCATTTTCCTGCCCTTCCTGAAGAAAAATATTTTTTATAAAATTGTAAAACTGTTTAATATTGTATACATTCAATTTCTTTGGTTACTTTCACTTCGTGTATTTTACGTTTCTTTTTGTAGGTCTTTGTGCTAATGTCAAGCTGAAAAACTTCCACCTCAAGTGAAGTAACTTAAGTTATCACTCATCACGTACAGCAAGTGTATTGGGGAAGACGTTCTCCTCTATCAGAGAGAGAAAGCCCTGACCTCTGTGTTACACATTATTTTAGATCTCCATCCTGTGTATCTCAATATTATTTATTTTTCCCAAAGAGGAAAAAAGGTTTCTAATGGCCCTTCTTGTTTTGCATGACTGGAAGTTCCTACATTATCCAATAACTACAAAAAGGCCATGAATCTCCTAATTTTCTCTTTCTTATTGGGAAAGATTCTCCAGTTGCTGCTTAGGGAGAGGCAGTACGTAGGTTATAAACAAGTCAAAGTTAGTCCCTAAAATATGAATTATAGGCCAAAGTCCCCCTTTTCACTCAATATGCGTGTTTTCAATGTAAAAACAGTATCAGGAAACATGGATGTGTCACACGGAATTGTACACTAAAAATAAAATGCTACGCAACACAAAGATGTTTTTTCATATAAATCCTTCACTATCACCAGTAATTCAGCTTTAAGGCGACACAATATGATTAGCAAATGTCCTATGAATTATAAAATGGATAGGAAAACATTGGAATGAAGTCTCTTGGAAAATTCAGTAATTCTTTGCATCAATAATTTTCCAACGCATCAGGTAATGTGTTGATATATTGCAACCACAAACTGTAAATAAATATTTTCTTCTTACCTTCCAGCAAACACTACGGAACCTGCTGCTTCTCAGCTGCCCATTAATCCCCTTCAGCCGTATTGTTGCCAAGTAATTGTTGTTTACAAATAGTTCTTCCCATTCTTTACTACATGAAAGAAAAGAAGGAATGAACATTATTAAAAACCCTCAGCTGACTTAAGGGCTATATCACACTAAGTAATTTTGGATAAGCAGAAGGAAGGGAACTTTTTTAATGTATATATTTAGTTGTGTACTGTTTCTAAACGCATGGCTGTCTTTTTGGACACATTTCTTCTCTGGATTTAATGAATATGTAGATCGCTATAATTATGCCAGCAACTGAAATTCATAATGTCTATGGAGGCTATTCCATTTTCTCTAAAATGTTGGTACTGCAGTTCAGTGAATAAACAAGAAAAATGAATATTAATATAAGCACATTCATGTTTCAGCCATAGACAAAGAGGTACCTATTCCAAAAATATGCAACAGAAAAGTATACTGTTGACTGTATTAGTTCCTCACATGACTTATTTGCATAAATGAACCTTCTTTTCTTCTTAATGTCAAGCTGGGCAGTTAAGCATAATAGAAGAGGACTTTCTTTAACATTTAGTGCTATTTACTATTGAAATCACTTCAACTTCTTTCTACATGATCAGTTTTAAAATTTTAACAGGTGCTAGCAAATTTAAAAAAACATCAAAAAATTAAAAAGCCTCACTGTATAAACTGTTAAAGGCAAGCTTGAGTACCTTGCAGTACCTATGGCTGACTAGATAAACAACCTAAATATGCCTCCCAGGCATGCAGACACCAGGGGCCTAACACCTGTGCCTCATTAATATACAAGTAAATCTGCTCTACTGGGAAACAATTGGAAATTAATTGTCCCAAACCATTTACTGAGTTTGAATAAAAGAATTAGACCTATATTTCGTACATCTTCCTCTGAATTGAATCTAAAGAATACTACTAGCCACTTGATGATCTAACTAAAGTAACCCAGACCTTCTCAGAAAGACTTCCTGAAGTCAATCACAAATTCAAATAGTAATTTTACTGTAAATCATCAGGGACACATTCATGGGCATATGTGCCTCAGCAGCGTGTTGTTGTTGTTGTTAAAGTTATGTCCTTCTCTTAGGAGATTCACTTGGTTTCCTAGAAAGAAACTAAACCAGAAATGGAGAAATCACTCTTCATCTCAAGGTGTAATCATATCAGATCTCATTGCCTAAATAGGGTCAAGATAAGTCAGGCAGGTGCTGTAAGAACTTCTCCTCTCCCCGCCGCCCCGTTCCTCTGAGATCATTCTGAATAAATACCCCCAAATGTGACTGTTGGGGCACTATGCTGGTGGAGATGTCATTTTTCAGTTAAGAGGAGGTGAATTTCTCATAGCATTGTTTTCTACCTTAAGGAGTTACTTCTAGGCCCAGTTCCTTGGCTGCAGCTGAAGAGCTAAACAAAATTTGGAGTGGTATGTGAAGGCTGCTTTAAGAAATCTTTGGGCTCCTCCAATTTTGGTCTGTCTGGGCTAAAGGTTGCTTTAACTTGTGCCATCTGCCAACAGCCCCAAAGGGCTCTAGGGTGACCAGACAGCAAGTGTGAAAAATCAGGACGGGGGTGGGAGGTAATAGGCGCCTATATAAGACAAAGCCCCAAATATCGGGACGGTCCCTATAAAATCGGGACATCTGGTCGCGCCTAATGGGCTCATATGGCAGCAGATTGCCAGGGTGCATGGGAGTGCCAGCTCTGACCCCTACAATGTCAGCCAGAAGGGGGTATGACATGATAGAAGTCACTGTGCTGGCTCTATACCAGAGGATCTTGCTTCTATGCTGGCTATTCTGGCTTTAGGGCTGCTTTGTGCTGGATGTGTAGTGTAAAGTGGAAACAGTTTAAGGGAGAATCTGGCCCGTTTAAATTTAAACATGGGTAACTACAGTATTCTGCCTACCTAAATTCCCCTGTGGTTTCTACTGGATACAGTATTCTTCATTTCCTTTCTTAACCAGTTTTGTAGCATCACTGATGCCATTATAACAGCTGCCAAGCAGGTCTTATTATATACACACTGGATCAAATGCTGGTGTCAGTTACAGTTTTAAAAGTGAATTATATTCTGCACTGACATGGCCATGTCAGCTAGGGTGATCAGATGTCCCAATTTTATAGGGACCGTCCTGATTTTTGGGTCTTTTTCTTATATAGGCTCCTATTACCCCCCACCCTCGTCCCGATTTTTCATATTTGCTGTCTGGCCACCCTAACGTCAGCTGAGTTAGTGCAGATGTAAGCGAGTGTAACTGAGAACAGAATCTGTCCCAATATGTTTATTACAGAAGTTGCCAGTGGTGACTGTTTTACAGCAGCTAATTTTTTTTTAAAGTCTCACTATAACTTAGATGTCACATATCAGTAAAACTTCCAAAACATTCCTCTGCTTTTGTGCTGAAAATTTCTAGGCTTGCTCTCTGTCTAAGTTATTTTGGAAAATTTGAGCAAAATGACTTCAACAGTTTGAGTTACTGGAGTGGAAATGATATATTCTTCTCTGTGTAACTAAATTCTGAAGACATGTTTTCAACAGGCCTACAGTAAAACAGCTGAAACTAAAATCTGGCAAGTACATAATCCACACCCTGTTTGGACTTGTGGAAAAACAAACAAACAAAAAAGTTATAAGCAACTGCAAAAATTACTCTGAGCACGCTCAGTAGCAGAGTTTAACGAAGTTCTGCCCCCGCTGGACCTGACTCAACAATGCTCTTTGACCAGCCAGGCATGCACAGAGGTCACTGTTCAGACATTTTACATGATGGAAATTTAGCATTTATTTGGAATTTAACACAAAATAAGCCAGGAAAACTAGCTTTAAATCAGAGACCGAAGAAGATAAAGTGTTTAAAAAAAATCAAAAATCCCACAAGTTTCAGGCTATTTACCATATTGGCGACGTTCTACAACATTCAGCAAATATTTAGCTTTCATTTTTTTAAAATATTTTTTAAAAGATGTATCCTCCACAAAGTAAACTCACACACAGGTGCTTCATTAACCCAAGTTTGCAGAAAATTTCCAAGTCAAAATTAAATGAGCAATGAAGATTGGAACTCAGGTCTACCACACCCCATTTGCTTCACTGAGGTGTGAACTTCAAGAGCCAGTTGGAACCATTTAAACCAGGAGTAGGCAACCTATGGCATGCGTGCCAAAGGCGGCACACAAGCTGATTTTCAGTGGCACCCACACTGCTCGGGTCCTGGCCACCGGTCTGGGGGGCTCTGCATTTTAATTTAATTTTAAATGAAGCTTCTTAAACATTTTAAAAACCTTATTTACTTTACATACAACAATAGTTTAGTTATATACACCTCTACCCCGCTAAAACGCGACCCGATATAACACGGGTTCGCATATAGCGCGGTAGCAGCGGGGCTCGGGCAGCGCTTTGAAGGGTCCAGGGCTCCGGCTGCTGCGGGAAGCCCCGAGCCGTTTAAATCACCACTGGAGCCCTGCCACTGCTACCCCGGGGCTGCAGCAGCGGGGCTCGCCAGCGATTTAAAAGGCCCGGGGCTCTGGCTGCTGCAGGGAGCCCCAGGCCCTTTAAATCACCGATGGAGCCCTGCCGCCCCTACCCGGGACTGCAGCAGCGGGGCTCCGCCAGCGATTTAAAGGGCCTGGAGCTCCCTGCGGCCGGAGCCCTAGGCTCTTAAATCACCGCTGGAGCCCTGCCGCCCCTACCCCGATATAACGGCGTTTCACTTATAACGTGGTAGGGATTTTCAGCTCCCCACGACCGCATTATATTGCGGAGAGGTGTATTGTAGACTTATAGAAAGAGACCTTCTAAAAATGTTAAAATGTATTACTGGCACGCGAAACCTTAAATTAGAGTGAATAAATGAAGACTCGGCACACCACTTCTGAAAGGTTGCTGACCCCTGATTTAAACCATTAATAAGCAGAAGCAATTGTTTTATATCATACTAGAAAATTAAATGCAAAAGCATGTGTTGATACAACATTTGGATTGCATAATTAAAATAAAGGAAAATGCAAATTTTAATATTTGGGCTGTCTTGCACATATTTTGTATTTTATATTTCTGTTTAACGGGTTAAATGTGTAGCCTAATATATTAGTGGTCATATTTTAAAGTTTACATTATAAAATATGCAGCTGAAATAATATTACTTATAGAACCTCAACTTCTACATTTCTTACCTTGCTTTTGACTTCATCTTTAATGGCAAATGTGTGCCATAGAAGTATTATTGGAGTGAATTTGGGATAGCTGCATTACTTACATGTGAAAAAGTACTCTATGCTCATGAATGGGAAGGGAGGCAGATCTCTGGAATGAAAGCTTAGTCTGCAGGTGGCTAAGGAGTCAGCTTCTCTCCCTTAGAGCTCAGTGGCTCTGGGAAGAAGGATAAAGGAGTTTGAGGCGCAAGTGGTGTTCTCGTCCATCCTCCCTGTGCAGGGAAAAGGCCTGGGTAGAGACCGCCGAATTGTGGAAGTCAACGAATGGCTACGTAGGTGGTGTTGGAGAGAAGGCTTTGGATTCTTCGACCATGGGATGGTATTCCAAGGAGGAGGAGTGCTAGGAAGAGACGGGCTCCACCTAACGAAGAGAGGGAAGAGCATCTTCGCAAGCAGGCTGGCTAACCTAGTGAGGAGGGCTTTAAACTAGGTTCACCGGGGGAAGGAGACCAAAGCCTTGAGGTAACTGGGGAAATGGGATACCGGGAGGAAGCACGAGCAGGAGAATGCAAGAGGGGAGGACTCCTGTCTAAGACTGAGAAAGTGGGACAATCAGCGAGTTATCTTAAGTGCCTATACACAAATGCAAGAAGCCTGGGAAACAAGCGGAGACCTGGAAGTCCTGGCATAATCAAGGAACTATGATGTCATTGGAATAACAGAGACTTGGTGGGATAACTCACATGACTGGAGTACTGTCATGGATGGATATAAACTGTTCAGGAAGGACAGGCAGGACAGAAAAGGTGGGGGAGTTGCATTGTATGTAAGAGAGGAGTATGACTGCTCAGAGCTCCGGTATGAAACTGCAGAAAAACCTGCGAGTCTCTGAATTAAGTTTAGAAGTGT